GTTATCAGAAATCTAAATGTATGTTTGATAACTGCTGATTCAACAATTTCCACCCAGGATTAAGATTAAAACATATACATCCACGGATGATGTTTGTAAGGAGAAATATCTATTCGCTACAACTTAAGCAGCTCACATTAGCTTGCATTTACTACATATACAGTCATGCACTACATTTTTTGGATGAACATACGTTTGCTAGTACAGCAATGATCTGGGGAAAAGGTTACGTTTCTTGGCTGAATAATGCATTGGCTGTCTGCATTGTTTAACCTGTAATGCTTCGTTCCCGCGAGTTATTCATTTCTGGTTTTGTGGGCTTTTTTGCTTTCCTGCTGTTTGGCCACACAAAAGATTACCAACGTGTTATAATTAATTTGATTATTTTACTGACTAGATTTATAACATCATTCCATTATGCCAAAATGAATACCTAAAAGTGAATTATTTGTTAAGCAGCGCAACCATTGCAAATAGAATACGGTAGATAGAAACAAACAGGCTAATGAGTTTACAATCTCAGAACTAATGACCTGACTATACAGGATATTTTGTAAGCTAGCCAACCGAAGCCTTTGTATGACTCTATCGAGCAGCTGAAATGAAATTAAGACACAAAATGAATGTGGATGTGCATTTTAGGAAAACTTGTGAAACATTAGAGTAGCTGGCAGATGCTTTTTAATGCATTTTTAGTGGCCATGTGTTAAATGCACCACACCTGTTCACCTGTAATAAATGGGTTAAACTTGCCATGGACTCTTCAAACCGCTTTTTCTTACCACTTCAGGGATACATTTTTTTTTTTAAATGCAAGAAAAATACCTAATTTTACAAATGCCCTAATGATATTCCTACCGAATAAAACTGTACTTGCATGTTTGATCGATTGATGGGTTCTATCTCTGAAGTTCGCTGATTAAAGTTAATTAGGCAGCAACATTTTTTTTACCTGTGCTTTAATTAGCCAAATGATCACATCTTATTATGAATTCAATGGATTGTGGTGGTCAGAATGTTTTCATATAATTAGAGGTAAAAGATTGAGCTGCATGTCACGGGTGTGGTGAATCTGGTTGCACATGGGGAGTTTAGTGGGGTGCACTTTATGTGTTTCCAGGATTGTTTACTTAATGAGAACAGCTGTTAGTGGGTGGCATTAGCAGAGTGATAGGTTGGGCTATAAAGGTTTCATAATAGATGGTCACTTTGCTGAGCATTATTATTATTACGTTGTGTCCAGTATCAGTGAGTGCACTCTGGTGCCATAACATCTCCAGGTAAACAGCGCACGCGTTCATTGGACCAGGCAACGTTCGACCAGTTTCAGGTCAAGTTCCAACGCTTGCGTGCCTATCGTAGGTGCTATTGACAGTGAACAAGGGTAATCATGGAACCTCTGACCAGTTTGCAGCCGTGCAGCCCCATATTCAACAGGGTTGGCTACACTGGGGGGTCGCGAAACACTCCTCCCTTAATCATTAAAAATAATGCTCTTGCTCATCAGTGTGTCTGACGCACTACGTGTATCTGGGGATGTGAGGAGATTTGTGTGTGTGTGTGTGTGTGTGTGTGTGAGAGAGGAACTGGCATTACAAGGCCTAGCAGGCAATTTTATAATGTTATGAGGTTACCAATAAAGAGAGAAATCAGCCTTGAAACACCACATTCAGATATCAAATAACAGACATTTCTGAAATACAACCAAATTGATGAGGGACATCTTTAGGTTAGCATTGCTTGAACATCTTGTAGCATTGTTACCATGTGACATTATCTAGGTGAAATTATCTTTGTCATAATATATAATGTCTCATTTCATACCTCTACGTCTGTTCTTATGTTGATAACACATTCTCAGGCTCTATTTCCAGGTCCTCATAAACTCTCTGGATCAAATTCCCGGCTTTGTGGAGTACATAAAAATAAACGACTGTCCGGAAGATGCGGAAACTAAGCCCTTCACATCTCTGATGTGGGGGAATAATCAAGTTCAATAAACGTTGGGTTTATCTGATTATGCACGGCCCTCAGAACATTATTATAAAATTGCGCACTTCTTGTCTTCTGACTGATTGACGGGGCAGGGGTTGCAAGGACACTACAGACTGCGGGCGCACACACACATACACACACAAACTGTATTTACAGAGGTGTACGCACTTATAACAGAGAGAGGGGTAGTCCGTCCTGAGGAATGTATGAACACGGTAACAGCTGCTAATGAAAAAAGGCATCGGCCGTATCATCAATTACGGCTGTGTTCTGCACCATCTCCCAGACAGAGGCAATAATATACATTAAGCCACCAAACGTTTGGGGAGTGAAATTAGTGTTACCCAATTGACATTCGGCCCAATTGCGATGCATTTGCATACCTGGGAGGGTCCTATTTCACAAAGTGGCTCTGTGCAAAACAGATAAGGACATTCAGAACCCGGAGAGCCGAGGTTTTTTTTCTCTCTGCGCATTAATATTTCCGAGCCTTTTTATCTCCTGACTGAACCATGTATCCAGGGAGTAGGGTATTAAACTTATCACCACAATTACCACTGAACCCCCCAAATTATATAATTTCTCTGAGTAATCGAGAGCAGGGCACAGGAAATATCCAGGCTTTTTTCGCGTGTGCATATTCCTGCAGCGTAATACCTCAAGAGTGCAGGAGCGTGAATGCATTAAGGCGGATATCTTTATACAGCCACCCATGCCTAACCGTAATACCTTCCGGATACTTCCCTCCAGAACTAAACAGGAGTACATTAGGGCGTCACAGAGGGAGAGCCAGGTCGTGTATTTATCCTTGTTTACCTCCCCCGGCATATTATTTGTCATCCATTATGCATTCGCAGAGGTTTCCGAACACTCTCGTAATTTCATTGAAAGTTCATTGACTGTTATGCTGCAGGTTTGATAACTGCAACCACCATCTCGCTGTGTCTCAGACGATGGCGGCTCCTGATTGGCTGGGAATCAGGGGTGGCGCCAAATGGTGACAGAATTTGTTCATCAACAGACATGTATCGCGGCTAGTAATATTTAACTGTGTGCACGTTCAGGACACGATTAAATAATACTGGCAGAGGTAGACAGTTCTTTCATCCACGATATTACGATAAAGGTAGATCTCAACAGTAGATTAACGAGCAAAAGTAACGCTCCAAAATGTACTTTGAAGAAAACCTATGGATTAGATTGATAGAAAATAATAGACGATCAATAGCTACACCAATATCTATGACTATGATTCAGACAACTGGTTTGGAGGAATGGGAGATTTTTCTTGCCTAACATGTTGCACAAGTAAACGTGTTATATTAAAAGACGAATCTAAGTACCACTTGTTTAGCATTGTTGCTAAGGCTAGCAATAACAACGGGCAATATGACCAATAGTCATTACATGCCAATGGCTTTTACATAAACAAGCTAAATGGGACACCTAGCAGAGTAGTTCCCTAGCTTGTCTAGGTACTTTACATCCACTTCAAATGAAATGTCATTTATTAATAGTTTTTTGGAACAGAAGTCAAAATGTATTTTACCGATACCCAGCATGAAAGCCCAAAGAGCAATCAACAAGAGTTCTGCTCTGCCTGGAGTACCCCTGAAGTACCCCCGTAGTGCACTAATAGAAGTAAGCCTATAGTCTCATGAATCTCTTCAAGTATCCATCGTGGATGGGACAAGCACACCCAGGGGTCATATGATCGCACAATTGACAACAGCCCAGGTAGCAAAACAAGGCAGTACACTTGTTATTATCTACCTTTCTCATGTCTGAGGCTATAGATCCTATTGTAGATACCTACCCCCAGTGGTGGACAGATGTTTCAAGAACTCATGCTAGATTCAGTAGCTCCCGCTACATGCCAGACTAGCCACCCAGTCACTATTTCATTTGAATGACATTTGCTAGGAATTTGTGCTATCTTAAACACTCTCTGGTATTGCCCTGTGGTATCGCCCTGTGGTATCGCCCTGTGGTATCACCCTGTGGTATTGGCCTGTGGTATCGCCCTGTGCTAATGCTATAAACAGCTCTACCGTGGGATGGGCTAGCGTGGCACAAGTCAAATACTTTAAAGTCATATACTACCAGTCCACTAATTTATTATTGAAAGAGAGTCTGTAGTGTTTACATTGACTCTGGCTAAAGGGTTGGCTCGTGTCTAGATTTATGACACTACCACTTATGACCTTCCCCTAGTGTGTACTAGTTCATTATTACTTGTTCTTGGCCCGAAATGGGCAGAAGTAAATTGTTGTCGGTACCTTTCATATATCACCACCCTTAACTACTGTGTAAACAACATGAACTGATTTCAAAAATCTGTTTTTCAGAAATGCAATTGTTGTTGGTTATTCTTCAATTTCCAATTTTATATGACAAACTAGCTGCACACTTTGTGGCAATTGTGACTTGTCTCTTGAACACAAGTAACTATAAGGAAAATAATCGTTCCACCTCAAGATCAATGTCTATATTACAGGTCATGTACCGTCATAGGTATATCTTTATAAATTGCCAAATGTGTACATCTAAAACATTTCTGATGGTTTGACTTCTCATTATAAAAAAAATTGCCTTTCAAAAAAAACTGAGACACTATACAGTTGTGGTTCCCAAACAAGTGGTAGGCCCTCAATAATTGGTATTCGGAGCTCGCTGGTTGGAAACTGGGCCCTACCTAATTCAAAGGATATAATAAGAAAGTTACAATTATATATTCAAAAACAAAGGTTCCCTGTTTCACACTAAGACGTCCTTCTTATATACTGTAAAATGCCCATCCTGACAACCCTCTGTGGCATAGTCTTTAGGTTTTCTGCCAAAAAAACTCTTCAGCTGTCAATTTTGTAACCACTGCCCCCTTTAGCACTTATAATTATGACCTTTATTCAATGATTAAATGGCCCTCCTTTCACATGCCAAAATCAGTCACCAACTTATTCACCGCTAACGAAATGTCCTCTATCCCATAGCTGAGTTCTTAGGTGGAGTTGGTAGCTCAGTGGTAGAGTGCATGCTTTGTGTGTTTGAAGTCCATGGTTCAATCCCCAGGTCGCCACCTTTTAAATAAAGGTTAGATAAAAAAAATATATATAAATATATATATAACTTGCTAGAATTGTGCTCTGTGCTCTGAAAGATATGTCTCTCTGGTTAGTCCTGAACACAATTATTGAGTTGTTCAATATGAATTTTAGTTTGCTGAGGGCGCTTATGGTTGAAATGCTTGTCTCACATTACTCCTTCAGAAATGTCCTCAAATGTCCGGATACCCCTAGCAACAGATCCATCTCGGTGTACTGTACATACTCATTTTGTCACGGAGCACAACTGACTTTGGAAGAAGAAAAAGTGATCGATGGCATTCATGCATTTCCATTAGGGCAGCTGTTCGATTTAAAAGCCTGTTAATATTGCCACTCATGCCAGAACATTTGAAGCCGGGGCATCTGTTAATAACTGCGCGTACAAACCTCCGAGACCCACCTTCGCCGACGGGTCCATGTGTCAAAGATGCCGTAGTCGTTCCCTGATTAGATCACATAAACATCTGAGTGTCGGGAGGCAACCTTGTAGAATGAGGGTGATGCGTGAAAAGAACGTTTGCGTTGGCCGTTCTTCAAACTCATCGGGTCAGACCACCTGATTACAGTCCTGACAATCTTTTCCCGACGTGCTTCACCGTTCCGACGTAGCTCATCTAACGGCGGCATCAAACCGCTGACTAAAATTATAATGTAGTGATGCTGAGTGGGCGAGGAACAGAGAAGAGTAGCCAATCTCTGGGCTTGGAGAGAGGGAAATACATGTGGAGAGGTTGGCTGGTAGTGCCAAAAACAGCTCTCTACCGAGTCGCACTGGAAATCAAGCCGACACTCCAGCTGTAACCTTCAGCGGTTGAATACCCCCCCCCCCCCGGTGACGTGCTTGCATTGGAACTCAGAAATCCCCAAAATGATGGGCGGCAGACTGTTCTCAATGCATTTCAATCTTCCTCTGTTTTCTCTGGCAATTAAATGATCGAGGTTTGGTAAGTGCTGTTTGCATGCAGACAGCTTTCCCGCTCTGTCCTCGGCGATGTTCTGAGACCTTTCAAGGTCAGGTGACTCATGCAGAATGCATCACACGTAGAAAAACAGCAGTTATCGTTACAGAAAAATACCTGCTGTTATCATTATACGCGGCACAAGTCGACGGGTACATTTTGCCTGGCACTTTTCTTTCCTATCAATGGAGTATAGACATGTATTTTGTGAATCACTCATTTCACCACGTGTCTGGGAATCCTGTCCAACATGTGTTCCTTGCAAGATGTGTATTTTGAGTTGATCCATTAGAATCCACTTAGTGAGCAAAGTCTGTCTTTATTTCTACTGCACTGGGTGTTACTGACAAAATTAATGAATTTGTTACTTTTCTTGAGTATTGTTTTCCCCAAAACTAATGACAAATACAACAACAAGAACATATGAAATGAATAATACAGGGTCGTGAAATGTTTACTTTTAATTGAAACGCATTCACTTAAGCATTCTTTCGTTGACTGCTTCAGGACAATAATACAGCATTCGTGTCGAAAACGAACAGAGTCTTCAATGGGTATCTCTCACATGTGCTTCAAAGGTATGCTGGGAAATATGCAAATGAGTGCTTTACTCCTACACTAATAACACAAAAATGGCCAATTGAGTCATTTTGACTTAACATGTCATCGAAATATCCCTGCGACTTTTCTGTAGGCGTCTTTATGAATGCATCAATAAAGCCTTTATTAACAGCTGTATACATTCAATGAAGTCTTTTATAAAAGGTGCTATGTATGGCTTAGCTGTGAAATTATAATTTTCACGTAGATGTTTCATTTACTGAAAGCATCACTGGATTATGCAACATTATTCATACAGACTATAAAACAATATCTGACTGTATCATTTCAAAAATAAATGAACAAAACAACATCAATAATAAGCAAGACTGTGAGAATGGTTTGAAAATGAAAATAGATCTGCATTAAACAATACAGTAATACTTTATTTGCAAGATACTTAAAACAAGTATTTATGTTAACATGATCAGAGAGGTAGGTAGGCAAGACATGCATTCTCTTTTGGAGTGTGGTCATGTTTCTCAGGTAATCAACAAAAAAGATATATAGCAATTTTCTCTCCATATCCAGTGATACTAATTGTAATACAGTAACTGCCAAACTCAGTTCAAATGTATTGACAGAAACAGTGAAGTCAGTAGATCGATTGGCAAAAAGACACAAAGAAACATATTATATAGATACCTAAAATAAAGGGAGATGGTAGTGGACAGATAGAGAAATAGACGGTCAAAAGTATCAGTGGCTAAGAGAGAGAAGAAAGACTTTTGTAATGCTGGTGAGAGATGGGTTCTAGGAGTCTAGCCAGAAGGAAAAACTCTCAGTAAACTCTGTCTGTAACTGTAAATGCTGATTTACAGCCCTGCCGTATAGTAAATGAACTGCATCGCTAATGGTTTTCTATGCTGGTTTTTAATGGACATGCCCAGAGAGCACCGGAGCCGTGCCTACACTGGAGTTGACGTTGGTGAGAGATAGGGGGACGTAGTGGGCGTAAGTCAGTAGAAATGGAGAGACGAAAGCACAAAGAGAAAAGATAAAGAGCCATAAAGGAGAAGGAATTAACCTCCTTTTCATCAGTGCTTGATATGTACATGTGCCTGTGATTTCCCTCTCACCCACTCACTCTCTCCATTAGCACGCTAAAACCGAACACATGCAACATCCTGGGAGGTGGTGACATTCAGACAGACTGTGTCGCTCGCCGAGTGATCATTTATGAAATAACTGTTACAGAAGAAATACATTCAATTATTTATTTCCGAACGTTTTGTGTTTGTACTGTATTTCTTTCTCGCAAAAGAAATCACAAAATGTACTAATACTGCATTTTTTATGGTAGGACTACTGATGTTCCCTGCTGCATTCAGTGCCTATATTCAGTACCTATATTCAGTGCCTATGTTTTCTTCCCCTTGTGTAAATACTTGCATAGTCGAGCAAGCGTGAAAGATTTATTTTGCAGGTTATTGTTAAATGGACAAGAGAATAATGGATTTATTATAGAAATACGTAAATCATATAAATTGCTACTCTATTGTCATGACATAAGCCACCACACACTGAAGAAACGATATTATTGAACAATTTGTACACTGCATGTTGCTCATTCAATCTCAACCTGTGGCTGAAAAAAAGCTAATTGGCTTCTAAGTGAAAATCACTTGTAGACATATTGTAAAACAAGTTTTCACAGAATTTATTTAATGTGTTCCAAACTTAAGTATATAATGTGTTCCAAAACCAAATTTAAAACACCTAGAATCAAATAATGAAACCATCAGAATGGTTTGCGAATGAAATTTTGTTGAAATAGATTTTCTAGAAATGTAAATAAAAAACAGTATGTTGTGCAATGCATATGCTTACGTTAAAGCATTACATAACTAAGCATAGACAAGACATGCAGTGTAGATTTATTTTTAATAAATCTGAAGTTCAGACTATATATAGAGTAAAAAATGTATTTTGACTCTTCAATGACATAGGTTTTCCAAAACATTAGGATACGCTTTTGGATCGGCCGTTAGAATAATGTAATCTTCAATCTTCATAATATCTTGAATTGGATTATATCTCGACCAGGTATACAGATAGTCCAGGCTATATAGCCATTTTGTTAAGAAGATTTCGGTGGTTAAATCCTCGTCACACAGTCCCTTGATTTGGATTGACAGATTGAATTGCATCAAAAGGTCAATTCCAATGTTACCACTGAGCAGCATGTGTGAGCAGCCACACCGCTCTTCCATCTCTGTCTGCACAGACCGACAAAATTACATTTCATCAAGTTAGCCCTATAGAAACATAACCACAGCATAATCAAGGGTTTATTCAAACTTGTTTTAATGCAGCAAACCCCAATTATAAATCTAACTTTTAAAGATAAGTGTGTGATTGAGTTGTGGGTAGAACATTAGCTGTAAATATAAATCTGTCATTCTTGTATCCAAAACAGACACATGTGCCCTAGCCAGGCACAACTACAGAAGATCTAGCAATGAGCAATTTGCCACACAGGTCGTCTCTGTCACTGAACTGTGTGATGACAGGTTGTGACAAATGCACATGTAGATAATAAGATACAAACAAACAAAATACTTGTTGAAGCCAAAAACAATTTATCTGAATGTTTAATAAAATTAGCCACCATTTTGGGCATTTTGTTGTCTTTCAGCATGAAATTAGAATGGATGCATTTAGAAGTTTATGCCACAGATAAACATTCAAAAATTCATAGTGTCAAAGTGAAAATAAAATCAAACAAATACTCAAATTGTTATAAAATGATTACAAATGTATTGAATTAAAATAAAATTGAATTAACTATGTGGAAAGTTGAAAATTGCTGTTCACAAGGGGTCCCCATCCAAATTGATAGAGCTAAAGCAATTTTGTAGACTAAGACTTATGTGTAAAATCACTGTGTCCAAATGTGCCCAGCAAGTAGGCAGACTTCTCCCAATAAATCCACTGCGCTGTTTGATATCATTATTGACGACGGGGGGTGAAAACGTATTCAATACATCATTTTCTGTGTTGTATTTGTAATTATTTTAGAACAATTTGTAGTTTTACTCAAATACAGCCTTATATAAAGCTGGGATACTGTACTTTTGCTATCTTTGATGTATTTTGCTAAGGCAGAGACATTTTAAATACAGGCTTAATTATATACTGTTAATAACTCAATATGCTGAGGCAATGTTTAATTCTCTGTGTTGTAATATATTTAAATTGTTTTGTTTAAGTGGCCATTATGTTGCAAACCCAGCACAAACCACACAAATGTCAGGTACTAATGTAAAACGTTTAATTGAATGTAGCTCTAACAAAACATTAAGGCCCCTGTATTCTACATTTCCACATTAAAATCAACAGCCAATTCTATGTAAAATGTGTTTGTTTGTAGGACATATTTACAGGTCTGAAATTATTGTATAAAATATCTTAA